TGAGATGCTTAATTCCTGCTTTCTTCATGGTGACAATCTCTGCTGCAAAGGGCAGCAGGGGAGGACAGTGCTTATGCCCTCCGAGAGGCATGGGTGAGGTGGCAGCGCCAGGTACCTGGCAGCTCCTCACCTGGGATCTCTGGTTTTCATGTGAGCATCAGCAGAAGTCTGGCTTTGCAGCAGGATCAGTGCTTGTAAGCTTTTGGGGCACTAAGGCATCCCAAACCACTCACCCCGCTCCATCTCCCCCGCCCTTACCTGGCGATCGCAGATGTCTATTTTGTTCCCCAGCACAACCATGGGGAAATCTTGCTCCCTTGGATTGACCTTCTCCAGAAAGTCATCTCTCCAGTTGTCCAGGGCCTCAAAGGACTCCCTGTCTGTCACATCGAAGGCTAGCACGCAGCCATCTGAGCCTTTGTAAAAGGTCGACACCATGGATCGGAATCGCTCCTGTCCCCCTGTGTCCCAGATCTAGGGCAGAGAAGGGCACGGGTACAGACATACGACACGAGCAGTGCTGGAGTTTGCAGCCCTGTGCTCTGTTAAGCTCAGGGGACCAGCGTGAGGGAGTGCTGAGTCCCCAAAACTCAGGTGGGGTTTCAGTATAGTTCACAGATGCTCAGGGCTGCTGCAAATCAGGCTCTGCAAATCCAGCCCCGCACCCCATGGCACCAGTAGGCGTGTGGGGACAGCAGGACACGGCAGGACACGTGTGCCCACAGGATCCGAGCGGGCACCCCGGGCAGTCCCAGCCCCGCTCACCTGCAGTTTCAGGGGGGTGTTGTCCACCGGCAGCACTTTGGTCAGGATGCTGGCCCCCAGCGTGGTGCGGTAATCCTCGTAAAACGTCTTGTGCACGTACTGGTGCAGGAGGGAGGTTTTGCCCACGCTGGCGAGAGGGAAGGGACGCAGGTGAGGCTTTGCACTGCCGAGCCCGGCTCGAGGGGTCGGTCACAGCAGGGACGGGGGCTGCACACCCGCAGGCTCCTGGGCCAGCGCACGCGGGCTCTTCCTCCCCCCGACCGGTACCGCTCCTTACCCCAGAGCTCCTATGATAATTATCTTCAGATCCACCTTCTTGCTGGCATCCATGGACGGGCCCTGCGGAACAAGAGGGGGTCACGCGGCAGTGGGCATGGGACCGGCTCCCAGCAAGCCCCGCGGCGCTGGCGGAGGTGTGGGGGGACCGCCAGCTCCTCCCATGGCCTCTCCTTGTTCCCCCCCCGGCCATCCCAGTGCCCCGGATGCTGCCATGCCCGCACCGTGCCAACACCGTGTCTGCACCCCGCTGCGCTCACATCCCGGCTGCGCTGGGGGTAGAAACCCCCGTGCCGAGCCCAGCCCACGTCACCGCCTGGGCCTGGCTCCTGAGGTGCCAGTGCACGTCCAGACACGCCACCGCGGCGCCGCATCGAATCATCACCATTAAAAGCTGCTGTGAGCAACTTCCCAGCCTCTCCCTCTCCCTCTCAAGTGCAGTGCTTCCCTCTAAACCTCACACACACCGGGGGTCCGGGGAAAATTACATTTATTAAAGAAGACCAGGACCAGCTGGGCTTCCTGGGCACATTCAGGGATGCCACCCAGCCCAGGAGCACCCCAAAAGGCAACCCCAGCATGAACTGGTGTCCCCACGTGCTCCATGCCCGGCCATCCCAATGCAGGAGCCCTGAGCACCTCCAGTAAACCCCCTCCCCAGGTGGGGACGAGCATCCTCCGGCCGTCGCAGCAGCCCCCTCCACCCGGCGGCGTCAGGCACGGCACCGGCCCA